AACTTCATCAGGAAGCTTCATTAAATATTCACGAACTTCTTCTGGGATCATGATATTCATATTATCAGTTTATCTAGCTTGGTTGTTCATGATCTCACCAGATGCCCTGATGCGTTTTTATACCAATACGGGTCATGTTTTGTTTAATGGGACGGGTGGTACTGGTACTGGCATAGTTACGTGTACTTACCACGAGTTTGAAACTGTACCGTTACATTTGTACAATCAAACAAATAAATTCACATATAGATAATATAAGATTGTTATTTTATTTGGAGGTTTCTGAGTGTTACAAGTTAAAGATCTTTAAATTTTATTTGATACAATATTTTTGTAAATTATCAGTGGATTAATCATATTATTCGATTTTGGTTGCTAGAATGATAGTTTTTAATTGGTTATATGAAATGCCTTCTGTATTATCATAATCTATATCATAATATGTCCTAATAAAATCCTTAAAATAAGTACGATTAAATATATCACCGGTAGTCATTTCGATATTTGGATACCCTTCAGCTGCAATGATACAGCAAATGGATATTCAAGTCTTTCCATTCCTTCTATTTTTATATTCAAGAAAGGTTTCTTAGAAGATTCGAAACTAATCGCATACGCTCCGACAGTTTTAAGGTGCGTGAATAATTGAGATTCAAATTGTTTTATGAATTTCTTTTGATTTACTGTTAATGGTTCGGGAATTATACCATTATCATACTTGGGATCTTTGAGTATCTTATCACACATATCAAATATCTTATTTTTATCCTTGTTATTTCCAAAAATGGATTTTGTGTCTTGGACTTCTTTACATGTTTCTTTGAGTTTAGAAACATCGCAAATATTTTCCTGGCAGAATTTTATGAGCGTAGAGAAGCTTTCCATGTTTATTTGCTTATAGTAAGATAAATCGGTGCACTTTTATATCGTTTGGGATATTTAGTTGTACTAATTTGGTTATATAGAACTAACAAATATGGATCCTTTACTGTGTAACAGTCACGTTGTTTGATATTTATTTATATCAGTTGTAGGCTCCAACCATTGGAAAATAAAATAAAATACAAAATGGATAAGGATCTTAGAAAGAATCTCATCAAATCACTCGAAGAAAAAACACTTGAAGAAAC